AATGAAGCGTGAACCCTCCCGAAATTACCTACATCTGATTCAGAATTAGTGGTGTTCAACAATAATTCTGTTGGATAACGTTTTAACTTGAAATACAAGCCAACTTGCAAACACTTACACACTATAAAATGCGTATATTATTAACGTGTAATGCATACAGACTTGTTAAGTAGGCATATTTCAATAAGCTACTGTGTTGAGCATAAATCCAAATTTCTCCGTGTACATCAATACGTGTGAGTATACACGAAAATCGTTTTCAAATTGAGAATAAAATATTTAGATTTCATGAGACTGCATGTTCACTAAATGACAAATCAATTTTTTTTTTTCAAGCACAAGTGTCATTTTTAACTCCATGGAAGCAGCTGCAATAAAATGCCATATTGCGAGTAAAACGTGTATTCGGGTTGTTCTTAAGGGGATGATTAACAAAATTAAGAGAGGTAGATTCTTAAAAAAATAAAAGAATCTCTCTTTCTCCGACCCCAGTAAAACATTCTTTAAAACGATATTTTTGGTGATAAAATATGTAGAAGTTCGCTGCACTGACTTTGTATTATCACCGACGACATTATGTGCCGATATGTATGCATGGACCATTCCATCGTCCATTCTTCATAAAGGGAAAAAGGTATCAATTTGTCGTCGGTGTTAATTTGTATAAATGAACGACATGTACAGTAAGGGTAGCCAGGTACATATTATCGCCAGCGAAAAACTGTATGGGGTGGCGATATTGACTGTCAAATGCATCCCAAGAATTCCTTCAGTTGCCAATTTTGCTTTGAGCTGAACTCAATAAAAGTGCTATCGATACTCCCCCAAGAATGATTCGAGAAAGTTGATTGCAGCTAGAAGCTTGGAAAAAATAAAAAAAAATATTTCCTTCGAATGTCATTTATAGCATTCATTTCCTTTATTATATATGGTCAATTATTTTGCTACCATGCATTCTTCTTTTCTTATATGTGAAATGTATTTCAATTTTAAGTAGAATGAATTAAATTAATCTTGGAAAATAGCAATTTTTTATTCAAGCCCCATAATATGAATCTGAGGAGAATTCATACTGTGCAGGTCCTGCTAAAACATCGCAAGTGACATGTACCCTATCCTGCATATTTCACTTACCCCTTCAAAAGAAGGGAAATATGACCTACAGTTGTATTTACACCTTTTTTACTACGCATTCAAAAACACATTTCTCAATATTTTTTTTTTCACAGACATTCTCCTTTCCATCTATGCCCTTAAATCAGCCCATTCCACCCCGTATACATTTCCAGACTTGTATGGGAAAAAATGTATTTTTTAACTGGTATTACTTGCATGGTCAATGAAATGGGGTAAAATCAGTACTTATCGGCTTGGCCAAGATCAAGTGCCCATGTTGGTTGCAGATTAACAAAAAAAAAAAAATGAAGTCCAATGAAATGTACTACAAGTATGTTTTATGTAACATTACATCCTTTTGGCAGATAGTCAGAAATTTCTATCCATTTCTGTCAAGCGGCTAAAAAGATTTCACTCTTACTATAGAAGAGACCCAAGTGGGCTACGGACTATACATATTCAGACAAGTTTCATTCTTTCTGATATATGCATTTTGTGCGTGAAATTTAAAACAAAATAGTTACGGAAGTTAATTGATTTTCAGCGACAGGCTATGATTTCGTATGAAAAAAGATCCATGCATTTCTTTGCGAGAAGTGGTTTATTTCTTTTTTATGGGTAAAAAAACTTTTCTTAACATTTATTGCAATCTATTCGGAACGGTTACACGGCTGAAATTTCATCTTGAAATTTGTAAATGAATGAGGTGACATTAAGATTTGCAGTGGAATACTTTTTTCAACATTACATTTGTGTTCATTTCAAAAGTTTAACTGCATAGACATCGATAAATACTTACAAAACCATGTGTGTACGAGGGGTGATAAAAACTTCGCGAACTATTTACTTCCTTAAAAGAAATAAAATGAGGTATAAGTGTTCATTATTTTTTAAAGTAGTCTTCTCTAATTTAAATGCACATCTGCCATTGTTCTGCCCATGCGCAAATCACATGATCCAGGCGGTCATGTGACATGCTCCGTAGCGGTCTGTTCAAAGAATCTAAATGATTTTTCCAAGTCGTATATTTCTTACCATGCGTATCATCACCTCGGGGTTAGAGAGCTACATGTACACATAGAAAAATCTTATGAATAAACAAGGGGTCTTTTTAACAGTTAATATTTCTAGTAAATTAGTGTTCTTAAATAAAAACGATACATTATCCATAATTTTGTCCTCAAGATTAAAATCATGTTAGGTCAGCATTGCAGAGATACACGTGCGTACCGTAAAGAAAGTTTGTAAATGTATGTGCATTTACTAAATGTATACATCTTGATTTCCTAACAGTGCAGTTCTACGTGTACGTATTTTTACAGTAGATCTAGAGTGGAGTGATTTTTCTTAATCTGGGGTTCAATTCTGCTCTCTATGTATAAATTTATGCTGCAAATTTCAAGTCTGTAGCCTAAAGTAAACAACGTTACAAATTATCCTTTAGTGTACATCTAGTGATATTCAGTTAGATTCTGGTAGTCTGCATAATCTGATTTCCCCGCGAAGGCAATGTAGCAACCGTTTATGATAAAACGCCGCTTAATGACACAAATATATTTCTTAATCAGCAAGGAAAACCGTCAGTATGGGGATAGACGTCTACACAGAAGGTTAACACTGTTTTTTCCCTACTCTATGTTTCCTTATGCCTTTACCTTGTAAACCGCTAAATTAAATGAAGAAACGCCGCTAAATGAATTATCACTAGGCGTTGCAATTGCAACGCTTAATGCTATAAATTATTGCATTATTTTTTAACATTCTCAAGCGCTAATGCTAAATCGCCGCTTAATGATAGAATTATATCATTAAGCGTCACCAATACAGAGCAACACTGACCCTTAATGAAACAAGCACATATCTACATAATCGACGGTTTTTAATACACACTACGGTATCATTAAGCGTTGCAGTCGCTACCTTTAATGATAAAAAAAATAACCCCACCCCCCAACCCGGGATCTTGACGTCATATGCATTGGTGTTTTGTGTGTGTGTGTGTGAACATGAGATTTCTTTTTAATTATTCTTTTTTATCTAGCATATTTCATTTCTAAAAGATCTTTTCTGGTGAAATATTTTATCAGTACCCCCTACCCCTTCTGATAAAACCGGATATTGTGGGTCCTATACATTTCGATTCGAGTGATTTTTTTTTTGCAATTTTAATTTTTTTTTTGGCATATCATATTTTCAGAATATTCAGAATGTACTTTACAGCTTAAATACTTTGAGGGTGTTTAGAATGTATAATATTGGAAAGTATAATTTATATAATATACCGCTTAGAAAGGAGTTTAAATTTAAGTTAAGAAATGTACTCTCGGGACAAGATCGTAAAAATAAAATAATAAACCAATGGCACTGAATCAACAATCAACACATACTCTGCATCAAGAATATGTATGTTTAATGTGCTACAAAAGAATTAACATCGGGATCGATCCAACAGTGGCGACAGGTCACGATGCAGTGGTCAGGCGAACAAAAAATAAATGCAAAAGATTTTTTTTTATTTAAAACGACAGGCAATGCACATGTACATGTACATGTACTTCACAATGTAGCTTTTCTATTTATGATTTTCCAAGATAAATGAATTAATTTAAGTTCATACAATTAGTACCATCAGATGCTCTTTTAGTCTTTTAAAGAATATCTAACAAATATAGTTTTAGCTGGTATTTTCTATAAATTCGATTCCGAGGAGGTGTACAGCTTTATCAGGCAAATCGCACAAAGGCCCTAGCCCTCAATTATTGGAACTCTTAAATTATACAGGGAATAAGAAATTAAAAGTTCTGATCTACGTTATGTCCTTAAGGCAAGATTGTTCTTTCCTTTCCTCCTTCTTTTTTCTATGTCTTCACACTTCTTCTATTGAGTTTTACCTTTTCTTCTTACACATAGATTATGCAATTGCCTATTAAGCAGAGCCAAAGTTTGAAGGACATGGCAATCCGGAAAATTCTTTCATGAATTCGTTATGTCTTTGGTGTATCTGGGTATATTAGACAGAATAAAAGCAGATCGTTGTAATTTTAATAACTGACAATACAACTTCCTCTTACAATCCATTCGAAATATTTTTTTGAAAAATCCTCCCTTGGAGCCCAGCGCAGAGGTTCAGAATCTCTTATTTTTGGCCACTAAGCATTTTTACGCTACAGTTGCGGGGAAGATATATGCTTTTAATTGTATTTTTACATATGCTTGAATTTTTCATATAGAATATAAAAAGAATGTTTTTGTTGCAAATAAGATACTTGTGAGATTCAAATTTGTTATCAATTAAGGCCTAAAATAAGTATGTAATAAGATAGTCAAGAAGAGTCAGTTAAACATTTTACTTATCGCAAAGTAATAAATGAGTATGAAAACAATAATTTGATAATACATGTACATTTTTAATCAATGGAAAAAGTTTTAAAGAAGCATAAAAGAAGCTTGATGAGATCTCGTTGCGAGCAACGAATAGGTCTTCCTTCCCATTTCTGATGAGACAAGATCTTGAGTGAGATCGTTTGATTGGTATAAAAGGAGAAAAACTATAAATGAAAGCAATAGGCAATTGAATTCTCAAAATATACTTCAAACCTTATAAAAGTGTGAAATCTGCTAATTTAAATCAACTTCTGATTCTTTTCGTTCACTTCCGGTATTACAGGAAGTACTCCAGGGCCCGGTTTTTCAAAAGGTGGTTAACTCTAACCTGGTGTTAACCTGTTGTTAACTGGTGCGTTAAATTTGACCACATGGTTAAGTGTTTTTCAAAAGTTTGTTAACGTTTAACCATGTGTTAACAATGCGTTAACTTTAATCCACCCTTAGTACCTGTGTTAAAATTTAACACAGTGGTTAAAATACTAACACTGTGATTCAAAATGGCCGTTAGACTGGCACTTCAGCCACCTCAGAGGAAAAAAAGATGCTTTAGAGCTGCTGCTGACCCCTTACAAGGCTGGTCAGATGAGGAATTGCATAAACGGTACCGTTTTAGCCGACGGGGGATTGCATTTATAGTAGAGTTGTTGTCAGAAGACTTAGAAAGGGCCACAAAACGAAGCCATGCCCTGTCTGTCGAGCAACAGATTCTAATGGCCCTACGCTTTTATGCTAGTGGCAGTTTTCTGCAAGTTATTGGTGACACAATAGGCAAGTATATTAAATAATTCTAAAATTATGATAAATGAACACAAAACTTGCAATCTTTGTGTGGTTTTCATCTTCGTTCGTCAAGTATATCTAATTTGCCTACTCATGCTACTTTCCTGTAAATCGGGCACTAACACTGACTAGCTAAGGAAAATTTAATGTTTCGGTGACTTTATCAACGCTTCCACTTTCTTACCTTTAACATACTCTGTAGGATTTGAGAAGAGTACAGTATCTAAGGCTGTTAAAGATGTCACCAATGCAATTGCTGACAAGGCAGGGCAATTTATCAAATGGCCAGTTACTCAGAGTGCAAGGGCAACGATAAAGACTGCATTTTATCAACAAGCCAGATTTCCCAATGTCATAGGTTGTATAGACGGCACACATGTCAAAATTGTAGCACCCTCCACTGACGAGAACGCCTATGTCAACAGGAAAGGGTATCATAGTCTCAACATCCAAGCTGTCTGCGATCACGAAGGTAAATAATAACGAGAGGCCTTGACCTTGTACTCCTTGCATCATTTAAAATATTAAACGTTTTCAGTGTTCTAAAACATAATTCTTAATTTTTGTGACAGATATTGTTAGTTTCATGAGTAAAACCTACAAAAAATAGATAAAATTGATTGATAAATATTTTGATCACTATTTGTGACATTTTTTATCAATGATATTATGATGAGAAAGATTTATGTCCCTTCGTGAAAATGAAGGGGTGGATCTAATAGAAAATTTTACGTCTAGGTGCTTTAACAGCTGTTTAAAAGACAAGTTAAGTTCAAGTTACAACTTCATAAACACTAAACAACAGAATAACTTTACTCCAAGTTTTATAGTACATGCACCTTTTCAATTAAGTGATATAGTTAGTGTGTAATATTATATTTCTATTTATTTTCATGGAAAATATATATATATTTTTTTTTACATAAAAGGAATTGAATACAAAAAAATGTTACTATATTTCATGTAATTTAGTTTTAAATTTTAAATGAACTGAAAAAAAAAGAAAGTGCTAAAGTGATAGAGCAATGTGTATAATTACAGATGAATCCATTTAACAATTGTTAAAAAAGAAATTCACAATTGTATCTGTATCTTACATCTCAAATTATATTATCAAAAAATATTATTATAGTTCACGTATGTAATGAATTAAAAGTGGAAGTCCTGATTTAAATGATTTTATGAAAAAAATGTAATGATTACCATGCTCAAACCTATGGAATTCCATATACGACAGCCAACTGCTTACTGCCAACTGCTTACTGCCAACTGCTCACTGCTTACTGCCAACTGCTCACTGCTTACTGCCAACTGCCACACATATTTGAATAAATTTTCATATTTATATTGATATTTTATGAATTTTCATAAAACCAGGCGCGGATCCAGGATTTTTTTTTACAGGATTGGTCCACCAATAGATATACATATCAATAGAAATATGAAAATTTATTCAAATATGTGTGGCAGTTGGCAGTAAGCAGTGAGCAGTTGGCAGTTTTTTTTTTTGTACAATATTCTATGCATTCATATATAGTGAATGCATATGTATGTTTTTTAAATTAAAGAAAACATCATATCTGTTACAGGAAGATTTACCAATGTGAATGCTTCATGGCCTGGATCCGTGCATGATGCTCACATCTTTAGAACATCCCAGGTAAATAAGAATAGTAAACAAAGATGATTGAAGCATATTTTAATTTGTCATATGCATTTCCCGTACCAAACATTCTAACAAATGCTCATGAGCAGCTCATGAGACTCACATGAGAATCTAGTAAGACTTGTATGCAAATTAGGTAGAATTGGATTTTGCTCATGTGCAGATTGTTAGTCTCTGTTAGGGAGGAAAATACTAACCAAAATGCACATGTGCAAAATTATGCTCACTTGGATGCTCATGAGCAAAAGTCTAATCATTTGCTCACGTATGAACAGCCTTATATAAAGATATAGCATTGGTAGTAATTTTTCTAAGTTCAGTTTTCTCACGTGAGCAAGAGGTTAGGAAATTGGACATAGTCAAAATTCAGTATTACAGGTAGAACCGCCAAAGAATTACAAGTCTCATTTCCTCATGTGAGCATTTCAAATGCTCACGTGAGGAAATACAATACTTTGTCAGTCTATGTGGTCCAAGCTTTTACAAGCCTTCATTACAATTGCCCATGTGTTAACTATTGGTGTCGGGTGGTTACGTTCCGATTCCGTGTTCGACCCGTGTGGTTACGACCCAAGTGGTTTCGACCTACTCTAATGTATATCCCTACATGTGAATACCTGAGTACAGGGGTATACACTGTGCGGTAAACAAATGGATATTCGGTAGCTGTATGTTGTATGGCTTCAGAGATGTACGTGTCAACAGGGACCTATATACTAACGTTAGTATATAGGTCCCTGGTGTCAATAGGTAGTTGTTTCCGTATAATGTGTAGTCAACATGCAGTGAGAAGGTTTCCTAACATTTTTTTCTACTATCGCGGAGCATGGATGTTGATGAATTTGATTTAGTAATGAATTATATTTGAACAGTTTTCCATAAAAATTAATCAAATACTTCATCAAAAGTACCGTGATTACATATGCACTGTCTAAACATTATACGTGGTCGATATAAAAAAAATGTAGACGAAAAAATAAAATGTAAAACTGTTGAAAGTGTTAATTAATTTCGTTCGGAAGCAATTAATTGTTAATTAATTGCTTTGGAACGAAACCACTCGGGTCGAACAGGGATTCGTGTCGAAACCCCGCGGGTCGAACAAGTAGTCGGAACGTAACCACCCGCATTCTTAACTATTAATGCTACCTGATGACAGCATCACAAATAACTGGGGGCCAGGCAGGAATTTCTGAATTTCTTGAGCTTCTAATCTTCATCCCATCAATTTGCAAATGCTTTCCTCCACCTAAACAACCTGTTGTGTCCCCCACAGCTGCTTAAAACTAGGGCAGTATCCAATTAGGGGAGCCAGTCAGGATTTGTGCGCGCTTTCAGACCAGTTCAAAATTTCAATCCAAAATGTTTGTGAGGGACATGAAAGTATATACCGGTAGATTTACAGTAAAGAAGTGAAATATACTTTGGGAAATACTTGTCATCACCATATTGAACTTGATGTCAACATTTTAAAAGTTACAAATGTATCTTATGTCCATGAGATGAGGAAGTATTAAAGATCAATTACGAATAACCATGCAGCCACAATGAAAAAGAACAGTGATATATATTTAGGAAAATTTCAAAGATTTGCTGGTACATGTACTAAAGTATGCTGAGAAAAAGGTAAGTGCATGCATGGGCTTAACAATCCCCCTCTCATTTCAGATTACTAATTATAAAACATAGTATGTTTTTTGTTAATTATTAATTAATACTTATAATTTAGATAGAAATGCAGTATGTTATCAGTAATCACAGTTTAATATATGAACATGAATTTACATTATTGCATAATGTAATAGATGTTTATATAATTATAGTTCTGAATATAGGATCAAACATAAAATCCTTAATGTATTGCAAATTCTCTATAGATTCTTTTAAGAACTATAAATATGGTAAGCTAGATTAGGTCAAAGTGTACATAACAGCTCAGTGCTGTAATCTATAATTTATCTATATTAAAATAAGTTGCTTAATATTGATGCATATGATTTTTTTATTGACTGGCCTTTCATGACCAATTGAACCATGAAAAATATAATAACTATAAATTCAAATTTTTTGCAGATAAAAGTTGCTGATCGAAGGATCTGCAGATTAACCCCAGCCCCTTACATATAGATGGAGTTGAGAAGTTGGCACTCATTTAAAGGAAATGCAAGGAAAAGGATGAAAATGATTATGATTCTTATGACTACTGGAATATTTATTTCATACCCAAGTATGATTGCCATGCATTCAGGAATTGGAAAAAAATCTACATAGTCTGACATATCAGAGACAACTTTAATCCATCTAGTGCAGTCCAAAACTGTTGACTGGACATTTACAGTGGATGTTCTAGTGTAAATCTACTGGAAATCTAACTTTTTGATAATTTATACAATAATGTGTATTGTACATAATTAATTAATTATACATGTATAATTAAGATTAATACAGAGAAATGTGTTCAATGTAGTATATACTAGTTGTTCATTTAATTTAATTTTAATTTCATTTTAAGTTTGAAAAATGAAGTTCACTGAACATTTATGCATGTATTTACATGTTGCTCAAGAATATTTAAAATGTTCAATATTATTGACGAATCATATTTTACATGTATATATTATATTTGTAACCTAAATTTTATTCTATTGTTGTTTGTTCAAGTGAGCAATTGTTGCACATGAGACTAATGAGTCTCATGAGACTAATGAGCCTCATGTGAGCAATATTCTAGGTGAGCAAAATGATTCCTCACATTAGCAAAAAATGCTCATGTGCAGAATCTTGCTCATGTGAGCATTTCACCTAATTTGCATGTTAAATTGCACATGAGACTCGCATGAGCAACTCATGTGAGGAAATCTGGTTAGGCCTCACGTGAGCTGCTCATGAGCAAATTGTGAGAATGGTTTGGTATGGGTTATTTTTGATGATCAACTGCTGTTATACAGGGTTTGCAAGTTTTCTAAGTATTACTTATTGAACTGTTTTAAGTGATGCTTGCATGTCAGATGCATGCATTTATTTACTCTTAACATGCTTAATAAAATAAGATTAATGTGGTTAATAGAGAATTTAATGAACAGATTAAATTAGGTCAAGAGGGTATTTTTTTTTCTTTAATTTTAATTCCATTGTGCATTAAATATTCAATTGAATTAAAAAAAAAACAGATAAGGACTTACATGGAAGATGAAGATAAAGGAGGATTTGATCATGGTATTCTCCTTGGAGATAGTGGCTATGCCTGCCGCCCTTTTTTATTGACCCCTTACCTCAACCCCCAGAATGAGGCACAGGAGAGGTTCAACAGAGCCCATGGACGAACGCGCAGCCAAATTGAAAGAGCTTTTGGACGCCTCAAAAGAAAGTTTCATGTATTACACTCAGAGGTATACAATAATATTAATTTAATCTGCATGCTTAAAAAAGAATTCTTAGAGTTTTAAATTTATTTATCAAGTTTTATAACTTCCCTTCACCCCCCCCCCTTCTTTTTCTGAAAAACAAGCAAATTCAGAGAATTGTGGTCCCCTTGCTATAAGATTCTAATTATTGGGCCAATTGGCAAATTGTTATTGTAAAAGTTATCAGTAAAGTTTATTTTTTTTAAGAAGTAGGTAAAACTTCAAAGATAAACTGGTCATGAAGGTCACCAAAAATCAAAGTGTTTTTCATGGGCAATTCACATGTAAAATATTAAACCTTATCTTCTTTAGATTAATTTTCAGAACAGATCAGTTAAACATTACTTTCAATAAAAAAGAGACTCTCCATAATACATATTACATTTATTCATTGCATTATTTTCAGGTACGCATGAAACCACACAGAGTTTGTAAAATTGTAATTGCATGTGCAGTTTTGCACAACATCTCGCTTACTCTTGGTGAGCCAGAAGATGAGGAGGAGCCAGATCAAGAGGATATTCAGCCTCCCCAGCCTCCCTACCAAGGACAACAAGATGGAAGGGGTATTAGAGATTACGTTACACGACACTATTTCTCAAGAGCATAGACTGTTTAACAATTTACCTGCTCTTACAATGTAGGCATTGCTATGATAAAGAAAACATACATGTCATATAATGATATTTTATAATTTAATCAACAATTGTACAGTAAATAAAAGTATTAACAATGTATAATTCTCACAATACAGTGTAATAGACTTTTAACAGCTAAACTATTAAAACAATGAAATAGATCATCAACATTTCAAAAGTGCCCCATTGGTTAAATAACTCACCCTGAGGTCAAATCTTCACAAAGAAAAAGAAGTTTCATCACATCCTTAATGTACCCCCTTAGCAAGAGGTCCATAGGCCACAAAGGTTACATGTCACAAAATATGGATGCTTCATCATATACTAGTCAATTTATCATGTTACATAACTACTTGCAACACAATTTCTGTTCTTACACAAAATATATCAGAAAGTAGAGTATACAATCGGAGAGGTCTTGAAACAGGTAATGCACGTCAAATGTACTAAATGAAACAGGTAATGCACTTGTCAAATATAAATGCCCTATCATAAAAATTTATCACCAAAGTTAAAATTTTTGAAAATTAGGTCATAGATGTCAAGGTCAAAAATCATGGCATGCTTGGAAAGGTCTTGTCACAGGTAATAAACATGTTAAATATGAAAGCCCTATCTTTTCTCAATCAAAAGTAATACTTAGCAAAGATAATTTTTTTTGAAAAGTAGGTCAAACTTCAAGATCAAGGTCACAGGTCATAAATCAAAGTAAATTTGGAAAGGTCTTGTCACAGGTAATAAACATGTGAAATATGAAAGCTCTATCTCTTTTCATTCAAAAGTTATGACCAAGGTTAAAGTTTTTGTGACAGACAGACCAACAGATATATGAGATTTAATGTCCCCTTAATTTTGTGAAGGGAGGGGTGGGGGGGGGGGGGGCAATTAGAAAATTACTACAGGAAAGGGACAAAACTCTTTTCAATCATTAACTTGTGATTAAAATATTTATGAATTAAATGTAATGATCCATGCATACTTAATCTTAATCTAAGAACTTTTTTTTTTAATTATGTATTAATGTTATCTATAGAAATGCTTTTATTTCCAAAATAACAAAAAGTACAGGGTTTGACATTTACTTTTATGATGATGGACCCATATATTTGATTCATTGACTAGACTATATATACATGTCATAGTTTATGATAACAAAGAAAACATTGATGTAAGTGGCAGCTCCTCATCCTCTTTCTTTGCTTTCTTTATCAGAATTTGAAGCAATTCAATCTGTAGATTATTTTTTTCTAGTTCTTTTTCAAGGACAGCACACTGCAGAGTATATACATCCTCTGCACTTTTTTTCTGAGGCTTGGTCCTAAAATCACATACACATTTTTTGTTAAAAATTCCTGACCATTATCATAAATAACTTTTGGTCTCATTTTCTTTTCAAATTGTGCATTTTTAGTTCATATTTTATAGAATTGATAAAATTAAAACATCATCTACAATACATGAAATATTACAGGAGTGTTCGTTTAAATTCAAAGAGAGAGAGAGAGTCATTTGTTTGTGCAGATCGACAGTGAATGGGCAGATTTTTTGCTAATCATGTTGTCAATGACATAAATGTTTGTTGATAGAATTTTGATATTTACATGTATCTTAATTAATATTCCAGCTCGATCACTTCATCTTGTTTTAAAAAAAATTCTTTGATATTTTGGATAAATATACTTAACTTAAAAAATGGTTATTATCTAAAATTACACAAATACATGAATGTTTGAAATGAAATTTTCAGTGTGATTGCATGTCAGATTTGCATATATTCAACAATTCAAATTGTACATTAAATGAATTTAGAAGAGAAAATGTGGAGTTGTTGCCCTTTAAAAAGATTTTGTTCATAATAATTAATGATCATTAGTGATTAGTAATTAGTGATTGATTATATGTCTACTGTGATATTGTCTACATATATTTGCTCTGTTCTTTTTTTGTAATTTAATCCATTAATTAATATTTTTGTCCATTTATGTAATGTTTAAACATGTACACATATGTTAATTGTTTCAAGACAATACTCAGTACCTTTGAAAATTCAAAAGAAATCAGTTGTAAACAAATAACAATTATGATAAATAAACATTAGTGGATAAATTTTGATTCTAACAGCTTACTTCTCTTTCTTTGACTTATTTGTGCTTCTATTATCTTCAAGAACAGTGTCACTCATCTCTGGCAGTGCTTTTTATAAAAAAAAAAATCACAATGTAAAAATTACTATGAGTACATATATTCAGAAAGATAATGTAAAAAAATATTCACCTGCATGTTGATGACAGAATGCCATTAAACAATAATACTTATATTTGTTATATCACATACTTGCATTGCTGCTGCCAATGGCTGGGCTCCCTGATCTTGGTACTTGAGAGCAGCTGCCCGATCTTGGTACTTGAGAGCAGCTGGTGACAGATGATGCTAAGAAAATATTGCAATATAATTATGATGGTGTTAAAAGATAGCATATAGTCGAGACAAATGATAATCTGCTTAAAATGAGTGAATGACAAATTATTTCTGAAATTAGTTGTTTTTTTTTTTTTAATTCTTTTCACATACCTGGATTACTGTTGGTACAGCTGCTGAAAACTGCAGGGACTTCTACTTCAATAACACATGGTGGATTCAATCCAGTTTTAGGAGATTGTAACTGACTCTCATTTGTCAGATCTATTTAAAATTTAAAAGAACGTTAAGTGGAATTTTCCATGTCTAGATAACATAAAACTTGATAATACAAAATTACATTGTATATATATATATAACTATATTTTAAGTTATCATAAAAAAGGTATTTAAGACAGGTGTATGATACAAACTTTTCTCTTCATATAATTTGATAAAAGACTAGAATATGATTGGGAAAAAAGAAAAGAAAAGCGTTAAAGAAATTAAATCAATTCGAAAATTTAATATTGGAGAAGGGGGGGGGGGGGTTACACAGAAGTGCTTTATATTAATGTGTATAATTTTTTTTTAAAATATATACATATATATTATATGTAATCCATTTTTCCCTTCATTTATGTTTTTTAACTTATCGGTTATCAACTTTTGGTCTGCCTTCCTGTTGTACATGTATAGGTAAATGATTTTACGAACAAGTTATCTAAATGTGCGTTTAGTTCATACTTTAAGGGAATCCCCTTTATGGAATCCTCAAAACCACTCTTTTCCGTTTTACGAAAGAAAAAGCCCGCGAACAAGTTATGATATGCTTTAGTATAGTTTACGTATAACTAGACGAACGTTATATATTATAAATTTATTTTAGAAAGCTGACTGGACTAATATAATGTTAATGTTTATTTACTACTCTATTTGCCACAATCAAACGCTCCGTCATCATGGGGAAAACCCGGGAATCGCTTCTGACCATGCTGTTAAAAAAATAGCTTTTAAAAATGAGGCGTGAAGGTAAAGTGTAGCTTGTAGAATACGTTTTTACATTGAATACTGATCCTTATTTAATTTTTTATTAGTTTACGATTCGGAAGGACATTATCTGCACTAAACATATGCGAAAACAGGTTCTTGTTTGAAAAGTACGGAAGGGGTCAAGGCTGTTCTTAATATAGCCTTATGTAAACATGTATGGCTGGATTTTTATCAAACAGACATTCTTTTTTTCAATAAATACTCTTAGGGTTTACAGCATAAGAAACAACATTATAATAAAGAACGATCTTTCAAGTTACTATATTCAGCTCTCACGAATGTCTAACTGTTATTGTAAGCAGACGACATTTTTTATTTCACATAGAAATGATAATGTGGTAGAAATATTGAAAGAATAAAACTAAACGTGTGAATTAAAGTGATTTTTTGCATGAAAAATATTTATTGGACCTAATATTTAATCTCTGTGTAGAAACAGATTGTTTTTAAAAATATTGTGAGTTGCAAGGTAGGGGTATGAGATAGAACTGGGTAGGGGCCTAGTTTACAACTTGTTTTATTTCTAAACACATTTTATAATATAAGTCATAATATTACACCTGTTTTATCACAGATAGAAGTTTCAATTCCTCCAGGAATTCCTACAAAGGAACTGGAGTCCTTGTAAAGATCCACAATGTCTGAGACTGTCTGGGAGAGGGGGTTAGGTGGTGGACCTCCTCCAGTCCTTTGTGACTCCCTGTGGTGTTCAGCAAACTTCTGTTTAGCATCCCGACACATATTTCTCCATTTGTCTTTCACCTCAGTAACAGTCCTGTGAGCTGTTCCCACGGCATTGACTTTTTCGGTTATGTTTTTCCACACCGCTTGCTTTTTCTGATTAGTAACAGTGTTGGAGTGTTTACTTTCCAATATAGGATTTTGTTTTACTTCATTATGAATTGTGCTAATCTCCATAATGCTGAAATTCTGGCTTCTAGCCCGCTTAGGTTTAGAGCAGAAGTCAGTGCTCTCCATGTTTACATAGGAAGTAGAAGTGCATTATGGGTAACCAAGTGATTACCAAGTGATTAACTCAGTTAACACAGTGTTAGTTAACCATTGCGTTAAATTGCTTTTGATCAACACAATTTAACCACTGCGTTAGCTAATCACTTGATTAGGATTTAACACATTGTTAACCTAACCACTGTGTTAAATTTAACCACCTTTTGAAAAACCGGGCCCAGATGATCTTAAATTCCACATTGAGCGTGTAGGAATCATTCCTGAACATTTCGATGCAAAATACTCTTTTTTTTTACAACTTCCAGTTTGAAAAACCAACTTCCGCTGGAAATTGTAGGACTTAAAACACTTTGGTAGACTGTATAATACACGTACAGTACCGACCAGACACAACCTAACAGAAAGCGGACCCAGAGCGCACCCCGGGTTCGCTCTCTGGGTTCGCTTGGGGTCCGCTAGTGCTGACCCCGAACGAACCCGGAGCGCACCCGTAGCGAACCCGCAGCGAACCCAGAGCGGACCCAGAGCGAACGCTGAAAGCGAACCCCACATTCAGTAGCGGTCCCAGAAAGCGAACACGCGTTCGGTGTTGCGTAACAGAGCTGTCAATCAGGATTAGCGATTAACTCATCAGCCCGTCGACCAATCAACATGCCGAACAGGTCTGTCAATCAAGATAAGTGATAAAATGCGTTGACCATCAGCGCATCGACCAGTCAACATGCCAGTTTGTAATCTAAACATCGTACAAGCAAAGCGTGTGAATGTACAATGTAAAAATATTATTAATATGATTTTTAAACATGATTTTACATTTATATATTTTAATTCTCCAGACAACATGCAATATTTACACATCTATTTTCATTATTTTTTATTTTTAAAATCTATTAATACATTATTTATTTTTTTTTTGTCCAGGTAGCATGTTACATGTTTAGTTACATATTTATTTTCTTTATATTTTTAAAATCCATTAATTTCAAATATTCATTGCGTAAATTTATCAGACAATAAGTACTTTATTTCATAATAGAAAAAAGAAGATAATAATGGTTATAACAATTGTTACTAAAAAAAAGACTTAAAAAAAACTGGTCTTCGATAAATTATAGAATGTTATTATCTCAAGATACAGTATAAGAACATGTACGTGCTTTAATTTAATTATTTTTTATTTATTATTTCAATTTACATGCACGTTTTAATTTATCCAGATCAACATCGAAATTATCGATCTAAATAATTGATCATGAAAAAAAAATTAAATGTACATTGTACAGTATAAATGTGCATTATGTCAATACGTAAATTGGAGAAAAAAATCTCTCTTTTTTTAACTACTATGATATATATATATATATATATATATATATATATATATATATATATATATATATATATATATATATATATATATATATATATATATATATATATAATTAATCTTTTACCAAAATTTAATAAATAGCTTGATTTAAATACATGTATATAGGGAAAGTTTATTTTGTCAATTTTTATTATCCTACATGTAGACCTTACATTGTATGTTTTTGAATTTTTGTAACTACTTGCAAGTCAATAAAAAAAACCCGCAAAAATGCTTATCACTTTCCTTTGCGTCGATATATATAATTATACAGGTTTACATGTTCACGAACCTCTTACATGTACTACATGTAATTTTCGAAATACTTTATATGGATATAAAAAAAAATTTGGAAACGTCACAGTTCTTTGGTACGTTGCATGAAGAGTACATGTTCATGTAATTTGCTGTCACCTGAATGCTGAAAATCAGTAAAATAGCTTTACGAGAGAGAGAGAGAGAGCGAGTTTACAGGTATTGAATTCTTGTTTTGTTTGTTTTCTTTCTTGTTTTTATTTATTTTTAAACATTTAGAATTTTGTTTATTAACATGCCGCTTCAGTATGTATATGTATGTATCGGATTTCACTCCATCCGATACATCGAATATAAATTTAACACCCCTTTTTCTTCTTTTTCTTTCGAGATATACTTAGCTTGTAAATTAAGAAAAATAAAAGTGATAATTCTTCGTCGAATGTACGGTGAAATTCTTGAAAATTTATCAACGTTCTCCATATTGTCACTTACATGTACATGTTTCGATCGCCATAAAAACAGTAATGATCGATTTCACTACTGTATTTGGAATATACAAGGGGCGGGGCTTACTGGCGGCAAGATTAAAGCGGGGTCCGCTTCATGCATGAGTGCGTAAAGCGAAACCGGAAAGCGAACGCCGGGTTCGCTCTAGCGGACCCAGAGCTGACCCCGAGCGAACGCAGAGCGAACCCGAAGCGCACCCAGAGCGGTCCCAAATTTTCTGAAAGCGAACCCGCAGCGGACCCCGAGCGAACCCAGGAAGCGAACCTGGGGTGCGCTTTGGGTTCGCTCTGGTGTTAGGTTGTGTCCGGTCGGTACTGTAATGATTTAGAAATAAAAAAAAAATTGCATATTTTATATCTAATTCTGGTGGACCGCGGAAGTGACGGCAAAACAAATGAGACCCAGATGTTATATAACCAAGTCGTGATCTATCATCCCTGAAAGTTTCATGACTTAATATTAAACTATTTAAAAAAAAAAACACCCGGACAAAATTACATTTTAAAAACAGGAAATCGGACGTAATTCATGACCGGAAGTGAAGTTGAAAAAAAAAATTAAAAAAAAAAAAAAAAAAAAGCGCATGAAGCCCTTTAAATTAACTATCTATCCTGAAAATTTCATGAAATTCTATCGAGAGGTTTTAGAGAAATCCTCTACACAATATCGGTACGAAAAAAAGAAAAAGAACTAGGGAAAAGCTGGTTGCAAAGCAGCGAGTAGGTCTTCCGTCGGATTTTAAGTAACACTACCTGTAGGAACGATTAATGAAGGTTAGTACGAGGGTGATCCAAAATGTCGGGAACTAATTAAATAATTTCCGTAAAAGAAATCTTGTCTGTGATGCACCGAATGGTAAGTATCATTGTGACTTCACTAAAAAAGTGAGAAGTGACAAAAATCAACTTTACCACATAATGATGCGTAAATAACAACTTGCATACATTTATTTTGTTAATTATTTATTAAAGCAAGCAAAATATCACCATTTGATAACAATACCGTTGAGTACGGAGAAGCATATCTTGTGTCAGAAGTGACGTCAGCGAAGTGGGAATATTAAGCTATTGTACGCATTTCCGGCAAAATTACGAGTACTTCTGAAACAGCACAAACTAGCTCCAAGCACTTTACACTTAGACAATGTAAACCACTTTCAATGTGTATCAATTATTTTGACCAAAACCTGCGCATGCCCTTGCACTAGCATCATTTTCAACATTCAGCTTAACAATTCTATTTTTATACCAGTCACGTGACACACAGCTATATGTGCGATGTAACTGGTCCTGAGTACGGCATAAAGCTATCCATTATGGATATCTATATAACCTTTCCTAAAAGTTTACATTTACTTTGTTCAAGAGATTTTTTAAAAGTTATACATATTAGAAACGTTATCTAATCGTATTTCCCATTTCCTTCCTTACAATATCTGAGAAGTGACGTCATTTGACATCTTTTAACGACCTCATTAGCTGCTACATGTCATTTTGAACAACTTTGTTTCTTTGACATATTATAAATTTTCAATATTTTTTTTAGATATTAAGTGTACAATTTCAGCCCCTCTGTGCAGCCCCATTTCTAGATATCGTTTGAAAGAATTTGTAATTCTGGACAACATTTGTTCTACATATTTTAACTAGATGCTGTCATGAGACAGTAATACCCGCACTAATGTGTTTGCCTCTAAATGCACACTCCTTCATATTGGGCTTACCAAGGAAAAAGTCAAAATAATTCTACAATTTACACAGTACATGTTTCGTAAAATCGAGCATAAAATGCTCAGGTGACCATGTGACCTATGAGCCTCTTATAGGTATTGCCTCTACTTAATGCATTACCAGTCTGAAATAACAGAATTTAATAAATGATGTAAAATAGGTTTTGATAAAAGGGGGAATATTAATTTTTGGCCCATAATTGAACTTTTTAAATTTATTTTCTCAACAACAAATAATACTACTTTAGTATAAAGCGTTTTGAATGAATTTATCAAAATGTTGAAACTTTTCTTTAGTATTTGATTAGGGAAAAACCTTCTTGAAAAGCCAAACCCAATCAATTTTATCACCCCCCCACACACACACACACACACACACACAATTTGCCTGTTTTTGGAAATAGGCCTAGATGGCAAAGTTATGTTTAAACATCGCTTGTTATGATAATTTAAAATTTGTTCTTGTACTGTACATGTACGTGAACACCTTTTTGAAAATTTCTACATCACATTGGGCTTGCATCACCCTACTAGTACTAGTTTTACCATTATTATTTTTAGATGGTGCAATCATTACATGTATATCAGTAGGAATTAATTCATTTTGTGTTTTAATTGGATTATATTTCATGAAGTTGACAGGACCTATGATAGTCGGTAAGTACAAGTTTAAGTATACAAATAATATGTAGATTGGGGTAAAATAAACCGAAATCCAAATGGTTCGCTTAAAGTTTAGAAGGGATCAAAGATCATCGAATGCCACAATAGACGAATTTCACATTCTGAAGAGTTATCTCCCGCCCCCCTTTTTTTACTATTTAAAATGTTCTTGAAAGGGTTGTTTTCCCCCACCCCCCCTCCCCACTTTTGTTGCATTATAGTCAAATAAAGGTAATGTAGTAGTGTACATATAAATTGGGGTACTGAAAGAAGTTGGAACCCACCCCAGCCCCACCCCACGAAATAGGATATTTGAGTATTTTGAGTTTTGAAAAAAAAAAATTTTTGGCTTGTCAAGTGACGGATGTGGGGGGGGGGGGGGGAGAGGGGGGTTTGGCTGCTCACTTTTTAAGCTTCATATGTATAACTTATCGTACCAACTTAACAGGGGTCCGTGTTTTCTGGGAGGGGGGATCCAAGGACACTTTTAGTTGCTTTCGTATATAGATTTCGTATATACGTTCCGGAACCCCCTCCCCTCTAGATCCGCGCATGTAAATATTTCATTACCAGTCTGATATTACCTAATACAGGCCCG